AACACACACAGTATCACACAGCACACACAGTAATCACACATCACACACAGTACTCACTCATCACACCAGTAATCACACAACAAACACAGTAATCACACATCACACACAGTAATCACACATCACACACAGTAATCACACATCACACACAGTAATCACACATCACACACAGTAATCACAGATCACACACAGTAATCACACGACACACACAGGTAATCACACATCACACACAGTAATCACACAGCACACACAGTAATCACACATCACACACAGTAATCACAAGTCACCACAGTAATCACACAACACACAGTAATCACACATCACACACAGTAATCACACATCACACACAGTAATCACACAATCACACACAGTACCACATCACACAACATCACACAGTAATCACACATCACACACAGTAATCACACATCACACACAGTAATCACACATCACACACAGTAATCACACCACACACACAGTAATCACACATCACACACAGTAATCACACAGCACACACAGTACTCACACAACACACAATAATCACACATCACACACAGTAATCACACATCACACAGTATCACACAACACACACCAGTAATCACACATCACACACAGTAATCCACATCACACCAGTAATCACACAACACACACAGTAATCACACATCACACAGTAATCACACAGTCACACACAGTAATCACACATCACACACAGTAACCACATCACACAGTATCACCACACACAGTAATCACACACAACACAGTAAATCACACATCACACACAGGTAATCACACATCACACACAGTAATCACACAGCACACAACAGTAATCACACATCACACACAGTAATCACACAATCACACACAGTAATCACACATCACACACAGTAATCACACATCACACACAGTAATCACACAACACACAGTAATCACACATCACACACAGTAATCACACATCACACACAGTAATCACACAGCACACACAGTAATCACACATCACACACAGTAATCACACAACACACACAGTAATCACACAACACACACAGTAAGCACACAACACACACAGTAATCACACAGCACACACAGTAATCACACATCACACACAGTAATCACTCATCACACACAGTAATCACACAACACACACAGTAATCACACATCACACACAGTAATCACACATCACACACAGTAATCACACATCACACACAGTAATCACACATCACACACAGTAATCACAGATCACACACAGTAATCACACGACACACACAGTAATCACACATCACACACAGTAATCACACAGCACACACAGTAATCACACATCACACACAGTAATCACACGTCACACACAGTAATCACACAACACACAGTAATCACACATCACACACAGTAATCACACATCACACACAGTAATCACACATCCACACAGTAATCACACATCACACACAGTAATCACACATCACACACAGTAATCACACCACACACACAGTAATCACACATCACACACAGTAATCACACAGCACACACAGTAATCACACAACACACAATAATCACACATCACACACAGTAATCACACATCACACAGTAATCACACAACACACACAGTAATCACACATCACACACAGTAATCACACATCACACAGTAATCACACAACACACACAGTAATCACACATCACACAGTAATCACACATCACACACAGTAATCACACATCACACACAGTAACCACACATCACACACAGTAATCACACAACACACAGTAATCACACAACACACACAGTAATCACATCACACACAGTAATCACACAACACACCGTAATCACACATCACACAGTAATCACACAACACACAGTAATCACACAACACACACAGTAATCACACAACACACAGTATCACACAACACACACAGTAATCACACAACACACAGTATCACACAATCACACAGTAATCACACACACAGTAATCACACAACACACACAGTAATCACACAACACACAGTAATCACACAACACCACAGTAACCACACAACACACAGTAATCACACATCACACACAGTAATCACACATCACACACAGTAATCACACATCACACACAGTAATCACAGATCACACACAGTAATCACACGACACACACATTAATCACACATCACACACAGTAATCACACAGCACACACAGTAATCACACATCACACACAGTATCACACGTCACACACAGTAATCACACAACACCACAGTAATCACACATCACACACAGTAATCACACATCACACACAGTAATCACACACTCACACACAGTAATCACACATCACACACAGTAATCACACATCACACACAGTAATCACACATCACACACAGTAATCACACCACACACACAGTAATCACACATCACACACAGTAATCACACAGCACACACAGTAATCACACAACACACAATAATCACACATCACACACAGTAATCACACATCACACAGTAATCACACAACACACACAGTAATCACACATCACACACAGTAATCACACATCACACAGTAATCACACAACACACACAGTAATCACACATCACACAGTAATCACACATCACACACAGTAATCACACATCACACACAGTAACCACACATCACACACAGTAATCACACATCACACACAGTAATCACACAACACACACAGTAATCACATCACACACAGTAATCACACAACACACCGTAATCACACATCACACAGTAATCACACAACACACAGTAATCACACAACACACACAGTAATCACACAACACACAGTAATCACACAACACACACAGTAATCACACAACACACAGTAATCACACATCACACAGTAATCACACAACACACAGTAATCACACAACACACACAGTAATCACACAACACACAGTAATCACACAACACACACAGTAAGCACACAACACACACAGTAATCACACAGCACACACAGTAATCACACATCACACACAGTAATCACTCATCACACACAGTAATCACACAACACACACAGTAATCACACATCACACACAGTAATCACACATCACACACAGTAATCACACATCACACACAGTAATCACACATCACACACAGTAATCACAGATCACACACAGTAATCACACGACACACACAGTAATCACACATCACACACAGTAATCACACAGCACACACAGTAATCACACATCACACACAGTAATCACACGTCACACACAGTAATCACACAACACACAGTAATCACACATCACACACAGTAATCACACATCACACACAGTAATCACACATCACACACAGTAATCACACATCACACACAGTAATCACACATCACACACAGTAATCACACATCACACACAGTAATCACACCACACACACAGTAATCACACATCACACACAGTAATCACACAGCACACACAGTAATCACACAACACACAATAATCACACATCACACACAGTAATCACACATCACACAGTAATCACACAACACACACAGTAATCACACATCACACACAGTAATCACACATCACACAGTAATCACACAACACACACAGTAATCACACATCACACAGTAATCACACATCACACACAGTAATCACACATCACACACAGTAACCACACATCACACACAGTAATCACACATCACACACAGTAATCACACAACACACACAGTAATCACATCACACACAGTAATCACACAACACACCGTAATCACACATCACACAGTAATCACACAACACACAGTAATCACACAACACACACAGTAATCACACAACACACAGTAATCACACAACACACACAGTAATCACACAACACACAGTAATCACACATCACACAGTAATCACACAACACACAGTAATCACACAACACACACAGTAATCACACAACACACAGTAATCACACAACACACACAGTAACCACACAACACACAGTAATCACACATCACACACAGTAATCACACATCACACACAGTAATCACACATCACACACAGTAATCACAGATCACACACAGTAATCACACGACACACACATTAATCACACATCACACACAGTAATCACACAGCACACACAGTAATCACACATCACACACAGTAATCACACGTCACACACAGTAATCACACAACACACAGTAATCACACATCACACACAGTAATCACACATCACACACAGTAATCACACATCACACACAGTAATCACACATCACACACAGTAATCACACATCACACACAGTAATCACACATCACACACAGTAATCACACCACACACACAGTAATCACACATCACACACAGTAATCACACAGCACACACAGTAATCACACAACACACAATAATCACACATCACACACAGTAATCACACATCACACAGTAATCACACAACACACACAGTAATCACACATCACACACAGTAATCACACATCACACAGTAATCACACAACACACACAGTAATCACACATCACACAGTAATCACACATCACACACAGTAATCACACATCACACACAGTAACCACACATCACACACAGTAATCACACATCACACACAGTAATCACACAACACACACAGTAATCACATCACACACAGTAATCACACAACACACCGTAATCACACATCACACAGTAATCACACAACACACAGTAATCACACAACACACACAGTAATCACACAACACACAGTAATCACACAACACACACAGTAATCACACAACACACAGTAATCACACATCACACAGTAATCACACAACACACAGTAATCACACAACACACACAGTAATCACACAACACACAGTAATCACACAACACACACAGTAACCACTCGGTGCTCTGCACCAGGGCGCCTCTCCCCGGCTTCCTCTGAGCAGTGGCCTCACCGCTCAATTCTGCACGAATTCCATGAATCACAGGGAACCTTCAACCCAACTCTAGCTCAGGGTAATTGGATACCCCCTGTGTGTTAGTTGGTGACAGCGTTCGTAGTTTGTGGACAGAGTAACTTCAATGTCACGTGTCACTACGCTGGGGAGTGATCACTTACAGAAAACCTGCAGCTCCGTCCATGAATCTTCGCTGTTTGTTGTTGAGCTCCACGCATCACATTCGTACCAGCCCACGTCTTTTACAGCCACAGCTTCCAAGATCAGATGCCTGCTGCTCTCGGACAACCTCTCGTACTGACCGTCTGATCTGTACTTCCACCACTGAAAGTTGACTGCTTGCTGGGAGCTCGTGGTTCTGCAGTTCAGAGTGGCTCGTGTCCCCACTTTCTTGATCAGTCTCTTGCTTCCCTCAGTCTTGGGAGTGAATGACCTGTTAAAGACTGAAACAAAAAGATGTTACAACAATAACCATGTATGTTGAACTTCCTTTGCACCATACGTAGCCAACCGTACTAATCGGAGGTACGGTATCATGGTTATAATACCCCATCATAACTACTATGATGGTTATGATGAAGTATAAATTAATCAAAAGTCACAGCTCTATATGATGATTGCTCACACTGGACTCACAGGGACGGGCCAGTAATAATACTATCCTCTATTTAGCTAGGAAAGCCTCCCTGAGTCACAATACTTTTATAATTGGACCCTCACATTGAGATGTTTGGCTAACTCCACGAATGATATTTTGGCAAGTGAGAGAGAATCGTACGTACGTGGGTCAAACACTCATAGCTCCGCACAGATAGATTCAGGATTCCATAGCAGTACTGCCACCTCCTGGCAGCGAGTGTGCACAGAGAGCTCAGCACTGGGGCCCCACGGCCCCACGTATCGGTAGGGCCAGCCCTGTGAGCTCAGCCTCGCGCTCTGCCCAAGACGCAGCGGCACATCCACGAACCCTGAGCTCGTGGTGGTGAAGGCGTCTGGTCTGGCAGGGCGGTGGGGATCGACAGTGACTGGAGGCAGGGCTCAGCACGCGGCCGTGTTCAGCCCCACGTGGTCTGCACCACGTGGGGCGTGGTGGGCGGGGCTGCAGTCGGCCACGTGGAAGAGGCCCTTTTGGATGCACTTTGAAAATGTTCACTCGTCTCAGTGTTTCCAGATGAGAGGTTTACCTCTGTACCTTGACGGCTCATTGGGGTTAATGAGTGTAAAGAGGGTTTGTAAAGAACAATGTATACCCGCCATCTGCTTTTAAAACACAGGGTTCAATACAAGTTCACTTTGACCTACAATTTGGTGATTAACTTTTTAATTCCGTGGGCTTAGACATTCTGACCCAATCTCCTGGAGGTGAGAGAGGAGGCGAGGGGCAGGGTACAGACTGTGGAGCTCACACAACGCGAACTTTCCGAGTGGCAGAACAATGTTCAACTGCGGACGGATCTCGCATCGCCCACATTCGCCTCTAGACATAAACACGAGTTTTCATTTGTTGACCATTGACGGTGTAATGCCTCTTAAGTTGTTTAGTGTTAGAAAAAGAGTCATGAAAGGTTCTGTACCTGTTATTGCAATGCCTGCACCGTCACTGAACTTAGTTAGATCGATGATAGCGCGGAAGAAATATGTCTTCGAGTCTCCCATCCTCACGTCTCTGATCTCCAGGGAGCAGCTCCCCGACCTCAGATTCCCCACCAGCGCCACTCTCCCCCTGTACCCATCTATGGGGCTGGTGTTGCTCACTGAGCTGTAGACGATGTTCTCTGTCTTTGTCTCGTCAAAGGCATCGTTAATGAGCCAGAAGCCCTTCACGCCGTGGTCACTGCGACTCCACGAGAAGCAGAAGGCGCAGGGCAGAAGCACCCGGTCTCCCTCCCGCACCGCCACCGAGGGCCTGTAGCTCGCAAAGTCAGCAGTCAACCCAGCACCGCCTGTGAGAGACGCACACAGTGACCGTACACATGGCGGTGAACTTCTCCTGTACCGCGTCTGCCCCTGCAGGACCCAGTGGCCGTGGATTCCGGCATCAGCGACCACAGTCGCATTCAGGAAACTACGTGGGGCACTTGGAAATGTCGCGCCATTGAAGCGCCGAATACATCCCACTGATTACTCCTTCCCCTGAATATCAGAATCAGATTCACTATTTAGAGTGGAGGAATCCGATGAGCTATGAAGATCTTTTAGACAAATGTCAATTAGGGGCAGGTCACCAACTTACAATGGCAAACAATGGCAAATTATAGGAGTATAAAATAGAGAAACGGTAAGCAAGTCACGAAATGTTCATGAATAAAATAAAAAAAGGATTTAAACAAGAGAGCTCATGTGAGCTTAATATATTTTATCCTGCAGCTGTAGTCGTACATTTCACACGAAGCTGAACTCCTGGTGTCCCAGTGTATCCCTCGGTCTCCAACTCAAATCTGAAGTAGTAGGTGGTGGCATCTGAGACTGCGACATTCTTGATCTTGAGAGCGCAGCTCAAGGAGGTCCGCTCTATGTAGCTCACAGCCACCTGTGTTGGCGTGTAGCTGTAGACGATGTTATCTGCTGTGGCTTTTTTTCCATCTCTCAGCCACCATTGTCGTACAACGGGTCCTTGTCCTGAGGGGAACCAGAAAGTGCAGGGGAGTTCCACCTCTGCTCCCTCTGTTGCAGTCACCTCCATCAGCCCATAGTTTACTCCCCAAGCGTTGTCTGCAGCCTCTGAGAGCACAAGACACAAGGCGCACACGAGACATGAAGTCGCATCACAGTGATGTGTGTTGAACATCTGTCGCGTAGTAAGTAGGCAACTGTGCTAATAGGAGGTGCGTGATCACGTGCACACAGAGTCCTCGTGACGAGTGGACACACGTCCCACGTACACACGAGTAGCGGTGGAATGCCTCCGAGCGAGTGAGAGATGCCCTCATGAGGTGGCTCCGTGTTGAGAGAAGAGCACTGGGGCTTAGGGGACACCCAGGACAACTCCTCATGCACTGGAGGCAGAGGAGTCTGCCACGTCATGGTGAGAGCGGAGATGGGGAACAGATGGAGAGAAAGAGGAGTAGAGGAAGAGGTTTGAGAAGATGTGAAGAGAGGTATATTGAGAGATGGGGGAGTGTGTGAGCAAAAGAGATTAGTGAGGAGTCACCGTTCAGATGGAGGCTTCCACTGAGAAGACACAGGAGGAGGCTGGTCTGGAACACTCCCATCATGCCTGCAACACAGACAGGCTCACTACACAGACAGGCTCACTACACAGACAGGCTCACTACAGAGACAGGCTCACTACAGAGACAGGCTCACTACAGAGACAGGCTCACTACACTGAGAGTCTCACTGTTGTATATATGCCTTTTCCAAAAACGTATATTAAGAGTGATATTACCTATTTTTTTACGTAAAAAAATGCAGTGACACATACCTGTGAACTCCTCCCTCGAGACAACAAAAGGCCTTAATGACTGCGGAAAGTACTAGGGGCAATTGAGAGCATCTGTGTCCACAGGCCATTAGATGCCTGCTTGAGGAAGGGGAGATAACAGGCCCTTGATGTGACTTGGGAAATTACTTCAATAAATTAGAACAGACAGACACACACGTACACCGGACACACACGTACACCGGACAAACGGTCACAATCACAGGGACAGTTGTTCCGTCGCGAGAGGAAACCGACCAATCACAGGCCGAGGAGCGAAATCAAAGGCATTCCGGTCCTTTGTGAGAAGACGGAGGCGAAACATTTAGGATATAACAAAGAAGCTGAACCACCCAAATTAGTCTTGCAACGGCAAGCTCCGGTGTATGGTCACTGTGATACTGGGTCTGTCAGAGCAATTACAGACTGAGTATCGCTGGAAATTGTATTCTACATGCATCCTTATGTGTTGAGTCGCTTGCAGAGTAATGGACTGCGATAAATTGTATTGCACTAAGCTAGGAGTTGTGAGAAGCTAAGAGGTGTGCCAATACATTTTCATATAATACTGCGATTAGCCAAGAGTTGCGAGAAACTAAGAGGTGAGCGACTCCATGTTATGAGTTGTGGAGAGTGAGGAGCAGCGACGAGCAGCTCGCAGCAGGAGCCCTCCTGGACAATGGGTTGGAGGCACCAAGGGTGGTCACGCAAAGCAGCTGCTACTCACAGGACCAGCAGCTAACGACTAACCACGAGCGCGCCGACTCGGAAGCCCCGAGCCCACTCCAGCAAAGGTCGAGCTCAAGGATCGACAGTGCCTGGTGCCAAGGGGGTGACGCGCTGCAGCCCAGCGGACGAGCTGCGAGCGCTCTCTGGCGACGGGACCATCGCGCACATCGACGCAGACGGAGCCGGACCCATCATAAGTATGCAAAGTATGATTTGTGTTTTGATTTAGTGTGCTGATCTTAAAGGTGTATTGAAAAATGTTGATACTCCGACTGATGCTCCTACTGTTGTCGAGTGACTCATGCAGCCAGCTATGGCTGCAGAGTTTGGTAGTACATGTTGTTCACGTCGTTTATTGTGAAAATTCGGTCAGTTCCTATGACCACTGTTTCATTGCTTTTATGGCTTTATTTTGGTGATTTTCAAAAGTTTTTTGGTTTGGCCATGTTTGTTTGTTGTAGTATAGAGTTAGACTGATGGCCTTAATTTAAGTTGTCTTGTGGTTGTTATTGTTTGACTTACATCCCACTGGGATATTTGCACACAGCGTTGGTGTACGGTGATTTTTCTGCAATATTTTGCTGTCTTTTCTTGGATGTTCTGTTTGCACTTAGTCACTTTAAGATGTTTTCTTGTTCATGTTTTTTGTTTGTTGCGGTTGCACCCGATTCAAGAGCCGAATGGCTCACAGGGCTATACCTAATACATGAACTTTGAACTTTGATCATCCCCGCCGGCACGGGCTCCGCCGCCAGCGTGAGCAGCGTGCCGCCCACTCAGGGGCCGTCCATAAACGACGTCACGCGATTTTGGACGATTTTTGACCCCCCCCCCCTCCCCCCGTCGTCACAAAAAGTCAGACCCCCCCCCCCCCTCAAATATGACGTCACAAAGCTCTGTCCCCCCTCCCCACAAAAAATGTAATATGCTTCAAATCGCTTTAAACTAGTATACTTGTAGTGCGTATTTAATGTGGCGCTGCACTCTGATGTTGTAGGAGAAAACATTTATTAAAAAGTCAATTTAATTAAGTAGAACGTGTTGTCTATATTTATTTAATGTTGCGCATTTAGATGTGACGTCACATTTCTCAAACCCCCCCCCCCTCGTCACACATCGTCACAAATGTCTGACCCCCCCCCCTCCCCTAGGTGCGTGACGTCATTTATGGACGGCCCCTCAGCAACCACCCCAGCGGTGGAGAGAGACTGACGGCGCAGTCGAGAGCGCCGTGTGTTCAACTCGCGCAGACGCCGACCCAGCGCCCCTGCTGGGGACCTGAGGTATTGTCGCTACACGGAACTCTGCACCGCGGAAGCCACCGACTCGTCAGAGCCGCAGTTAGCAGGAAGAGGAGGTGGCAGAGGTCGCAAACGGGGTTTGATTCCTTACCCGTACCCGGCCGCACCAGGGTCGCAAACGGGTACCCTACCCGATACCCGGCTACCCGTACCCGGCCGGGTATCGGGTAGGGTACGGGTACCCGATTGCGACCTCTGGGATGAAGCCATGTTGCAGGCGCGGGTGGGTTGATTCTAGGAACTTGAATTGTGAGAAGAGACAAGACGTTGGGAAATGAGTGACAAACGGTGACTCACCAGTGACTCACGGCATACCCGTACCCGGCCGCACCAGGGTCGCATAATCTTAACAATGAATTCATTGATGTCCCATTAGCCAATTGATAAGTATCTGTTAACCAAACCTACACACTCACAAGTACACTATTGTTTGGGGACATTTCTTTAGTCTCAGAATATTACCAATGAATTCATTGATGTCTACTTTTGCCATTGGGCATGTTTCTTTAGCGCGGTTCCGTATGAATATTATAATTTTAAGGACTTTTCCTATCGTCGTGTTTTGTCGCGCTACTCTGAGGAGTTAGCCCATTGTTCTATTGCTCAGTTTTACTGGTAGGAACCTCCTGGTTCCACCAGCCCACAGGGGATTATTGTGTCCGTCCGTCGTGCATCCAAAAATGGGAGGGGTGGGGCTGGGTGGAGAGGGGAGGGTGGGGAGGGGCTGGGTGGGGAGGGAGGGGCTGGGTGGGGAGGGGAGGGTGGGGAGGGGCTGGATGGGGAGGGTGGGGCTGGGTGGAGAGGGGAGGGTGGGGAGGGGCTGGGTGGGGAGGGTGGGGCTGGGTGGGGTGGGGCTGGGTGGGGAGGGGCTGGTCACCCCGTGGTGTCATTATAAACCTCAACGTTTAACCTACTCATGCCGGCTTGTGCTTGCCCGCACAGTCGGGCATATTTACGGAATACACCACGCCGCCGTTGACCCTGGCCATTGACCGAGCAACCCAACGTTCCTACCAGCTCCCTCCGCAGGAATGTGTTAACAACGTAACCATTGAGGGTTAATTGTACGGCCCGATGATTAAGACATCTACAGAAGTACTGTGGTGGCAATTCTGATCATAATTGTGTTCGCATATTAGAGTGTTTTAGATATTAAAGTTGCTTAACACACAAGAGTATACATTCATACATAATAATCTTAATTATAAGAACTGTATCCTGTGGAGAGATCTGAATCCTGAGACTGGACATAAACACACTTAAACATGTAATCAGTAAAAGTTAAAGTGGGAATCATTTTATTATCACGATTGGTATTATACCCCTAGACAACGAAGCCGAGCCAATAATAATAATACACGTAACTACACACACACCTATTGATCATAATACGAACTATTAAGCGAACCTAATTTGCATATTTTTTTATAGAAATTAGCATAATTTCTTAATTGACATGTTTATTATTGTTTTCTTTCCATTTTTTTCAAAATACAATATATAAATAACTACACAGACATACTCACTAAACAGACTTGCTCACTACACCGACAGGTTCACTACACTGACTGGCTCACTACACAGAAAGGCTCGCTCACGACTAAGGAATGCTGACCCCACAGACATGCTCACAAGATAGATATACTAAATACACAGACAGGCTCACTACAAAGACAGGCTCACTACACAGGCTGGCTACACATTAACCGTCACAAATCTTACAAAATATTCCTCGGTTCATTCATCAGCTTATTTTAAATATGTTCGTTACATTTTTACAGGTTCACCATACATAGCCTACTCAACTTGCCTGGTAGGTGGCGGAGAGAATGGTATTGGAGTTGGCGGTGGTGGTTCTGGAAGAGGGGGTCTTGTGGAAGGGGCAGGTTCTGGAGGACGTTGTTTTGGAAGAGATGGCTCTAGAGCAGGCGGTGTGGGTCTAGAAGTCGTCCTTCTGGATGAGGTGATCCCGTGTCTTCCAGGGTCCCGTCTGGCCGTGTACCGGAGAGACCAGAGCTCTCACTGCACCCACGGCGAGATGCGGGTTGAAGGGGTAACAGAAGGCGTCGGCAGTGGGGCAATTGGGCAATTGGGCAATGGAACAATTGGACAATTGGGCGAGGCTGTCTCATTTTGCTTCTGCTTCAAGATTCTCCACCACTTCTTCTTTCCATGCTTCCCAGCAGCGATTGCTCTGGTGTCACCCCCCCCCCCCCCCCCGTACCGCAAGCCGCATGCAGTGTGTGCATAAATACAGTGATGAGCGCAGTCCTCTTGAAAATCCCTCCTCTCAGCAGAAGAGTAACGCGTGTGGCGTCACTACTTGCAGCTGCGAGGGTTTCTTTCGACCCTGGGCAGGCGACGTGCCCAGGTCACCAGGAGGGATCAGGTCACGCTGTGATCCTGTGAACCACGAAAGGTCAAACGGGTCTCCTTAATAGACTCCTCCACATGAGGTCCCCGGCCTTGGCCTCACTGAGTAACAGAGTCACAGAGTAAGGCCTCTAGTGGCTGCTACTGTCTTGCATTGCTGTCCATAAAAATGCACCAATTTGTAAAACCCTGGCACAAACCATGAGACCATGGACCTCAATGACATTTCATAAATCCGTGTTATTTATTTGTAGATTGTCCGACATCCCCAATGACGGGAATGGCTTCCTCCACAATTGGTCCGACTTAGAGAGGCGTTATACTCTTAGTTTGTCATCCATATCGCCGAAAGTCTCAAGAGATCTCGGTCGTGAGATCGATGCGGGTGCCAAGATGGAGCCCTTGTG